CATCGTTAAAGACAGAAGTAGAAAACACTTTTTTTGTTTGTTTTTGTTTTGCGGTAAAGCTGTCAAGTCATCAGCCATCCCCAAATAAGATTTTCACAGATAGTAAAAGTTGCGGGGGCGACAAATCATGCCAAAAACATTTTACCTCAAATCTAGAACAAGCCCAGTCAAGCAGGTCGTCTGGAGAAACCATGGGGGACAAAAGTGTGGACACATCTGTTAAAGGAGAATAGATTCAAATAACTGTGTATAATATGACTTGACCCAGATTGTAAAAGGTACATTTCGTATCACAGAAACTTCAAGGAAAAAAAAAAAACAAAACAGAGAAGCATAGTGATCACAGCACCTTCGTTTGGGGATATTTACCTTCACTCAGTGTAAGACTAGACTTGTGAGACTGAACAACACATGAAGATTTGACTCAATTGCGTTGAAATTTTATAGCCATCTGCTGCCACCTACTGGAAGAATGTGTAATTGTTCTGCCTGTCACTTTCACATAGACAATTTTACATAAATCAAATTGTCTGCTCTTCTGTTGTTTCAACGCGAGTTCCATTAAATAGATTTAGATTAATTTAGATTTTATTTTTAAAAAAATTTAATTTAAAAAAATTTGAATTGATTTAGATTGTAAATAGAAGATCCAAAATGGTTCATTTAATGTAAAATAAATCAATTCTACTTAATGTAACGAAAAGTTGTTAGATCCAGTCATTTAAATCAGTTAAAAAAAAAAAAAAGACAGGGACAGTCCCAGAAACTTGAAGGTTACCTGGAGGTACATTAGTTGGCTCTTTACAGGTCTGCTTTACGATATGGTGTTTCCCATAACCGTCAGGAGCTGGTGGATGTGTCTTGGTAGAGATTTTGGTCAAACCCTTTGTCACTGTTGACTGCTTAGTACAAGCACCGTGCACACCCTTTAATAAGAAAATGTGTTTTTAACCTTCTATTTAGGATTCGTTGGCAAATATTGGCGAATAATCTTTAAGTCATAATAATTTACCTGGTCCGTTTTCATCTTTTGGCATGACTCTTTACTTCTCTGTACCTTTGTTTTTGACACTGAAACACATGCAAATAATATAAAAAAAACTCATACAATACAGTCTTATACATTTAACCTACTGGATAAAATATGGTCACGTATCATTATATACATATATAAACACACACACATACATGTTTCTCAAAACTCAACGACTTGCAGATTTCCTGAAGAAGCAAGGACATTTCTTTTAGCAGAGCAAAATCTGTGAGACCTACTGTCCATAAAATAGTCACGTGAGGCTAAAAATAGAAATAAGACAAGCTACAGGTACACCTTATATTTAAAGTTTTTTTTTTTTTTTCTTCATGCAACTTTCATTTTTTCATGCTACAGTCCCGGACATGCTAATGTTTTACGTTACAGAGGAAGGAACCTTTTTAGTAGTTTAGTTTGGTTGGTGCTCTGAAACATATCTCGAAAATATACCCCATAGCATTTATAGCCGGAAGAATATAAAGAATGCAGCCCAAAAATGTAAACTGAGCAGCAGACGAGAAATTAACGGCGCAACTAATGCTGGGTCTAACAGCAGCCCAGCAGTGTCGGAGATGGATGGTTCATCCTTCTCCACAGTTGATGAAATTGTTGAGTTAAGTGAGATCAAGTAGGAATTTCGTATTTTGTATCAATTTCATTCTATTTAGTTTATGATTTAATTGCATTTATTTACTTTATCTAGGAAACAACCTGAGGCCTGGGAACAGTTGTTTTGTTTATCTCGTGTTTGAATAAGTCAGACACAGAACCTTATTTATCATTTGAGTTTTCAGCCAACATTGCACAAGCAAACACCCCCCCCCCCCCTCCCCCACCATCCATCTA